TCATAGGGACCGGACCCACCCCATAGGGACAGGCGCCCCATAGGGACCGACCCACCCCATAGGGACAGACCCACACATAGGGGACAGACCCACGCATAGGGACAGGCGCCCCATAGGGACAGACCCACCCCATAGGGACAGCTCCCCCCCATAGGGACAGCTCCCCCCATAGGGGCAGCCCTGTGTGGGGATACCCCCCTGCATGGGGACACCCCCCTTTATGTGGACAACCCTGTATAGGGACACCCCCCTTGTATGGGGATACCCCTGTTTGAGGATACCCCCCCTGCGTGGGGACACCCCCGTCTATGGGGACACCCCTGTATAGGGACACCCCCCTTGTATGGAGATACCCCTGTGTGGGGAAACCCCTGTGTGGGACACCCCTATATGGGGACACCCCCCCTGTGTGGGGACACCCCCATATGAGGACACCCCCCCCGTGTGGGGACACCCCCTTATGGGGACACCCCCACTATGGGGACAGTCCCCTGTGTAGGGACACCCCCCCCGTATAGGGACACCCCCCTGTATGGGGACACCCCTGTATGGGGATACACCCCAGTATGGGATCACCACTGTATAGGGATACCCCCCTGCATGGGGACTCCCCCTCTATGGGGACACTTCCCCTCTGTGGGGACACCCCCTATGTATCGGGATATCCCCCCTGTATGGGGACACCCCTGTGTGGGGACACCCCCCTTGCATGTGGATACCCCCTGTATGGGGACACCATTCCCCCCCCCCCCATTGGGGATACCCCAGTGTGGGGACAGCCCTGTATGGGGACACCCCCTTTCCATGGGGATACCCCCCTGTATGGGGACACCCCTGTGATACCCCCCTGTATGAGGACACCCCTGTATGGGGACACCCCGTTTCCATGGGGACACCCCTGTATGGGAACACCCCCAGTGCATGGGTCCCACAACCCCTAACACATGTGCAACCGCCCCCCCCCCCCCCCCCCCGGTGACCCCCTCCCTCTATGGGGTCCCCACACCCCTGAGTGCCCCACAACCCACGTCTCCCCCACCCCCCCAAATACATCGGACCAACTCCCCCCCGGGGGACCCCCACACCCCTGAGTGCCCCACAACCACGTCTCCCCCCCCCAAATACATCGGACCAACTCCCCCCCCCGGGGGCCCCCACACCCCTAAGTGCCCCACAACCACGTCTCCCCCACCCCCCCAAATACATTGGACCAACTCCCCCCCCCCGGGGGGCCTCCCCCACCCCTCATTGCCCCCCTTGTCTCTATGGGGACCCCCAGACACTGCAGTGTCCCGTCCCGTCCCCCCCACGGGTGACCCCCTCCCTTTATGGGGTCCCCACACCCCTGGGTGCCCCACAACCACGTCTCCCCCCTAAACACATCGGACCAACTCCCCCCCCCCCGGGGGGCCCCCCCCCACCCCTCATTGCCCCCTTGTCTCTATGTGGACCCCCAGACCCCGCGGTGCCATCCCCGTCCCCCGGTGCGAGAGAACCCCCCTAAAGCCCCATCTCCTCCGCTCCGGGTGCCCCGACGTGTGCGTGTGGGGCGCTCCCGATGACGGCTCCGTCGCTGCCCCACAGAGGCGGCGGTGCTGAGCTACGACGGCAGCATGTACCTGAAGGTGCTGGTGCCGGGCACGGCGCAGAGCGAGGCCGAGGACGTGGCCGTTCGCTTCATGTCCCCCCGCGCCTACGGGCTGGTCCTGGCCACCACGTCCCGGCACTCGGCGGACACCCTGCGCCTGGAGCTGGATGGAGCCCGCATGAAGCTCACGGTGAACCTGGGTGAGCTCCGCACCCGGCACCCAAAGGGACCCCCTGAGCCCACACCCGGGACCCCAATGGGGAGAGGAGGGGAGAAAGGGGGGGGGAGATGGATCTGGTTCTTCCATCCCCGTTGTGCCCCCGTCGGGTCCTGTTTTCCCCCCCCCCGGGTTTTGGTTCTTCGGGACCTCCCCCCCGCTGCCACTTGGGGGCTCGGCGCTGGGACCCCCCCCCCCCCACACCCCCTCCATGGGGTTGGGGATCCCCCCTTCATTGGGGACCCCGCTGTGGTTTGGGGTCACCCCGGTCCCAGCGCGTGTGCCCCCCCCACCCCTGCCCCCAGCGGTTGACGAGGAGGGGCCCAGCTCCGGATCCCATTGGGATCCCCCTGGATCCGCTGGGCTGGGCCCTGCTAAGGCCGGGACCCCCCTGGGGGGCCACCAATACCCTGAGCCCCCCACTCCCAGCACAGCCCAGTGCTGCTCCCATCCCATCCCCATCCCACCCGTCCATCCCCTAACACCCCATCCCATCTCATTCCCTCCCATCTCATACCATTCCCTCCCATCCCACCCGTCTATCCCATCCCATCCCATCCCATCCCATCCCACCTGTCCATGCCATCCTATTCCCTTCCATATCATCCCACCCGGGCCATCCCATCCCATTCATCCCATCCTGTCCCCTCCCACCCCACCCCACCCTATCCCATCCCATCCCCATCCCATCCCCATCCCACCCATCCATCCCCTAACACCCCATCCCATCTCATTCTCTCCCATCTCATCCCATTCCCTCCCATCCCACCCGTCTATCCCATCCCATCCCATCCCATCCCATCCCATCCCATCCATCCCATCCCACCCTGTCCATGCCATCCTATTCCCTTCCATATCATCCCACCCGGCCATCCCATCCCATTCATCCCATCCTGTCCCCTCCCACCCCACCCCACCCCCACCCTATCCCATCCCATTCCCTCCCATCCCACCCATCCATGCCATCCTATTCCCTTCCATCTCATCCCACCCGGCCATCCCATTCCATTCCCTTCCATCTCATCCATCCCATCCATCCCATCCCCTCCCATCCCATCCCATCCCATCCCATCCCATCCCCTCCCCTCCCCTCCCCTCCCATCCCATCCCATCCCATCCATCCCCTCCCATCCCATCCCATCCCATCCACCCGCCATACCATCCTATTACCTTCCATCTCATCCCACCCATCCATCCATCCAATCCATCCCATCCCACCCATCCCATCCCCTCTCACCCCATTCCATCCCATTCCCTTCCATCTCATCCCATCCAATCCATCCCATCCCATCCCATCCAATCCATCCCATCCCATCCCATCCATCCCATCCTATCCTCTCCCACCCCATCCCATCCCCATTTCCTCCCATCCCATCCCACCTGTCCATCCCATCCCAACCCATCCCAACCCATCTATCCATCCAATCCATCCCATCCCATCCCATCCATCCATCCATCCGAACCCATCCCATCCATCCATCCATCCATCCCATCCCATCCATCCATCCATCCGAACCCCATCCCATCCCCATCCATCCATCCATCCCATCCCATCCCATCCCATCCCATCCCATCCCATCCCATCCCATCAAATCCCATCCCCATCCATCCGTCCATCCCAACCCATCCATCCCATCCCATCCCATCCCATCCCATCCCATCCCATCCCATCCATCCGTCCATCCCAACCCATCCCATCCCATCCCAACCCATCCCCACCCATCCCATCCCATCCATCCCATCCCATCCCATCCCATCCCATCCCCACCCATCCCAACCCATCCATCCATCCCATCCCATCCCCACCATCCCCATCCCCATCCCCATCCTGTCCCCATGCCCATCCCATCCCATCCCATCCCATCCATCCCATCCCATCCCCTCTCATCCATCCCCACCCATCCCATCCATCCCATCCATCCCATCCCATCCCATCCCATCCCATCCCATCCCAACCCATCCATCCATCCCATCCCATCCCATCCCCATCCCCATCCCCATCCCATCCCATCCCCATCCCCATCCCATCCCATCCATCCCATCCATCCCATCCCATCCCCTCTCATCCATCACCTCCCGTCCCATCCATCCCATCCCTCCCATCCATCCCATCCCATCCATCCCATCCATCCCATCCCATCCCATCCCATCCCATCCCATCCCATCCCATCCCAGTACAACCCCCTCCTTGATCCCAAACCCGTCCCCTCCCAGTCTAATCCCATTCCCACCGCATCCCGGCCCCATTCCCGCTGGCCCCTGGTCCCGGCCGCTCGTCCCCGGGGCGCAGGCTCCGCTGGCTCCGGTGCCTCCGAAGGGCTGATCCCGCTGCTCTTCTCTCCCCAGACTGCGTGCGCGTGGGCTGCAACCCCAGTAAGTGCGGGACCCCGGGGGCACCCAGCGCATGGGTCCCCCCGGGCCCTATGGGGGTGACACCACCAGAACCGGGTCCCTATAGGGTGAAACACCCCAAAAACGGGTCCCCTATGGGGTGAAACCCAACCAGAACCGGGTCCCCTATGGGGTGAAACCCAATCAAAACCGGGTCCCCTATAGGGTGAAACCCAACCAAAACCGGGTCCCTATAGGGTGAAACACAACCAGAACCGGGTCCCCTATGGGGTGAAACCCAATCAAAACCGGGTCCCCTATAGGGTGAAACCCAACCAAAACCGGGTCCCCTATAGGGTGAAACCCAATCAAAACCGGGTCCCCTATAGGGTGAAACACCCCAAAAACGGGTCCCCTATGGGGTGAAACCCAACCAGAACCGGGGTCCCCTATGGGGGTGACACCACCAGAACCGGGTCCCCTATAGGGTGAAACCCAATCAAAACCGGGTCCCCTATAGGGTGAAACCCAACCAAAACCGGGTCCCCTATGGGGTGAAACCCAACCAAAACCGGGTCCCCTATAGGGTGAAACCCAACCAGAACCGGGTCCCCTATGGGGTGAAACCCAATCAAAACCGGGTCCCCTATGGGGTGAAACCCAACCAAAACCGGGTCCCCTATAGGGTGAAACCCAATCAAAACCGGGTCCCCTATAGGGTGAAACCCCCCAAAACCGGGTCCCCTATGGGGTGAAACCCAACCAAAACCGGATCCCCCATACGGTGACCCCCCCAAACACCTGGGTCCCCCTTGCTCCCCAATAGGGGCTGACCCCCCCTTCATAAAGGGGCTGAACCGCCAAAACCGGGTCCCCTATAGAGGTGTACCCCCAAAACAGGGTCCCCTATAGGATGAACCCCCCAACGCCTGGGTCCCCCTGGCTCCCTGATAAGGGCTGAACCCCCCTTCATAAAGGCGCTGAGGTCCCCCCCAAACTGGATCCCCTATAAGGGTGACCCCCTCAAAACAGGGTCCCCTATAGGGTGAACCCCCTCAATGCCTGGGTCCCCCTGGCTCCCCTATAGGGGCTTTAAGCCCCGTTCATAAAGGGGCTGAACCCCCAAAACCGGATTCCCTATAGGGGTGACCCCCCAAAACCAGATCCCCTATAGGGATGACCCCCCAAAACCGGGTCCCCTATGGGGTGACCCCCCCAAAACCGGATCCCCTATAGGGATGACCCCCCAAAACCGGGTCCCCTATGGGGTGACCCCCCCAAAACCGGGTCCCCTATGGGGTGACCCCCCAAAACCAGATCCCCTATGGGGTGACCCCCCCAAAACCGGATTCCCTATAGGGATGACCCCCCAAAACCGGGTCCCCTATGGGGTGACCCCCCCAAAACCGGATCCCCTATAGGGATGACCCCCCAAAACCGGGTCCCCTATGGGGTGACCCCCCCAAAACCGGGTCCCCTATGGGGTGACCCCCCAAAACCAGATCCCCTATGGGGTGACCCCCCCAAAACCGGATTCCCTATAGGGGTGACCCCCCAAAACCGGATCCCCTATGGGGTGACCCCCCAAAACCAGATCCCCTATGGGGTGACCCCCCCAAAACCTGATTCCCTATAGGGGTGACCCCCCAAAACCGGATCCCCTATGGGGTGACCCCCCCAAAACCGGATTCCCTATAGGGGTGACCCCCCAAAACCGGATCCCCTATGGGGTGACCCCCCAAAACCAGATCCCCTATGGGGTGACCCCCCCAAAACCGGATTCCCTATAGGGGTGACCCCCCAAAACCGGGTCCCCTATGGGGTGACCCCCCAAAACCAGATCCCCTATGGGGTGACCCCCCAAAACCAGATCCCCTATGGGGTGACCCCCCAAAACCAGATCCCCTATGGGGTGACCCCCCCAAAACCGGATCCCCTATAGGGGTGACCCCCCAAAACCGGGTCCCCTATGGGGTGACCCCCCAAAACCAGATCCCCTATATGGCTGACGCCCCCCCCCGGTGCCCATAGGGGTGGGACTCACGAGTGTGTGTGAGGAACGGGGGGGTCCTCATGCACCAGGATGAGCCCCCCCCCCCCCCCATGCAAGGGGGACCCAGGCGAGCCCCCCCCTGCCCCCCCCCGGTGCCAAGTGTGCACACATGGGACACGCTATGGCTGTGCACGCGCACGCCCAGGGGTGCACACGTGTGTATATGGGTGCACATGTGTGTACATGGGTGCACACGCGTGTACGAGTGCAGATGCGTGTACATGGGTGCACACGTGTGTACATGGGTGCACATGTGTGTACATGGGTGCACACGCGTGTACGAGTGCAGATGCGTGTACATGGGTGCACATGTGTGTACATGGGTCCACATGTGTGTACATGGGTGCACACGCGTGTACGAGTGCAGATGCGTGTACATGGGTGCACATGTGTGTACATGGGTCCACATGTGTGTACATGGGTCCACACGCGTGTACATGGGTGCACATGCGTGTGTACATGGGTGCAGACGCACGCCCACGGGTGCACATGCGTGTACATGGGTGCACATGCGTGTACATGGGTGCAGACGCACGCCCACGGGTGCACATGTGTGTACATGGGTGCACATGCGTGTACATGGGTGCACACGCATGTACATGGGTGCACGCCCACGCCCACGGGTGCACATGCGTGTACATGGGTGCACACACGTGTACATGGGTGCATACGCACGCCCATGGGTGCACACGCGTGTAGATGGGTGCACACGCGTGTGCGCTGCCACACGCCAGAGCTGAGCACCGCCACGTGTTGCAGCCCTGCCCACACACACACCTGGGGGCATGCACACACGTGCACGTGAGCCGTGTGGACACGTGTGGGGTCACAGCCCTGCCCCGTGTCCCCTGGCGGGTGCACGGGTGTGTGTGTGTGTGTACATGTGTGTGTGTACACGTGTGTGTATACGTGTGTATGTGTGTGTACGTGTGTATGTACATGTGCGTGTGTACACATGTGTGTGTGTACACGTGTGTGTGTCCATGTGTGTGCCCCTGTGTGTGTGTACATGGCATGAAGGGGAGCACACGCGTGTGCACGCTGTTTCTTTAGCGGGGGGGGTGCATGGGGGTTGCATGGAGGGCTTGGAGTTGTGTGCATGGTGTCACCCATCAGTGCCCTGTGTCACCCAGTGTCACCCATCAGTGCCCAGTGTCACCCGGTGTCACCCATCAGTGCCCAGTGTCACCCAGCTGTTCCCAGTGTCTTGATGTCCCATTGTCCCGGTGTCCCAGTGTCCCATATCCCATTGTCCCGGTGTCCCAGTGTCCCATATCCCATTGCCCTGGTATCCCTGTGTCCCATATCCCATTGTCCCGGTGTCCCAGTGTCCCATATCCCATTGTCCCGATGTCCCAGTGTCCCATATCCCATTGCCCTGGTATCCCTGTGTCCCATATCCCATTGTCCAATGTCCCTGTGCCCCATGTCCAATGTCCCCTGTCACACTGTCCCCCATATCCCCTGTCATGCTGTCCCCCATGTCCCCCATCACGCTGTCCCCATGTCCCATGTCCCACATCACGCTCTCCCCATGTCCCCCATCACGCTGTCCCCATGTCCCATGTCCCACATCACGCTGTCCCCATGTCCCATGTCCCACATCACGCTCTCCCCATGTCCCCCATCACACTGTCCCCATGTCCCATGTCCCCCATCATGCTCTCCCCATGTCCCCCATCACGCTGTGCCCCATGTCCCCCATCATGCTCTCCCCATGTCCCCCATCACGCTGTCCCCATGTCCCACATCACGCTGTCCCCATGTCCCCATCACGCTGTGCCCCATGTCCCCCATCACTCTCTCCCCATGTCCCCCATCACGCTGTGCCCCATGTCCCATGCCCCCCATCACGCTGTCCCCATGTCCCGTGTCCCCCATCACGCTGTCCCCATGTCCCCCATCACGCTGTCCCCATGTCCCCATCACGCTGTGCTCCATGTCCCATGTCCCCCATCACGCTGTCCCCATGTCCCCATCACGCTGTGCTCCATGTTCCATGTCCCCCATCACGCTGTGCTCCATGTCCCATGTCCCCCATCATGCTGTCCCCATGTCCCCCATCACGCTGTCCCCATGTCCCCATCACGCTGTGCTCCATGTCCCATGTCCCCCATCACGCTGTCCCCATGTCCCATGTCCCCCATCACACTGTCCCCATGTCCCCATCACGCTGTCCCCATGTCCCATGTCCCCCATCACACTGTCCCCATGTCCCCCATCACGCTGTCCCCATGTCCCCATCACGCTGTGCCCCGTCCCCCCCAGGCAAGGGCCCCGAGACGCTCTTTGCGGGGCAGAAGCTGGATGACAACGAGTGGCACTCGGTGCGGGTGCTGCGGCGCGGGCGCAGCCTCCAGCTCTCCGTCGACAACGTCACCGTTGAAGGTGCGCGGGCACCGGGACACGGGGGCACGGGGATGGGGGGGGCAGTGCAGGAGGATGAGGGTGCTTGGTCATGGGTGCTCTGGTCCACGGCGTGGGGATGCTCAGCTCCAGGGGATGTGGATGCTCAGCTCCAGGGGATGTGGATGCTCAGCTCCAGGGGACGGGGATGCTCAGGTCCATGGGATGGGGATGTTCAGGTCCATGGGATGGGGATGCTCAGGTCCATGGGATGGGGATGCTCAGCTCCAGGGGACGGGGATGCTCAGGTCCATGGGATGGGGATGCTCAGGTCCATGGGATGAGGATGCTCAGGTCCATAGGATGGGGATGCTCAGGTCCATGGGATGGGGATGCTCAGCTCCATGGGATGGGGATGCTCAGGTCCATGGGATGTGGATGTTCAGGTCCAGGGGATGGGGATGCTCAGGTCCATGGGATGGGGATGCTCAGGTCCATGGGATGGGGATGCTCAGGTCCATGGGATGGGGATGCTCCGGTCCATGGGATGGGGATGTTCAGGTCCATGGGATGGGGATGCTCAGCTCCAGGGGATGGGGATGCTCAGGTCCATGGGATGGGGATGCTCAGCTCCATGGGATGGGGATGCTCAGCTCCATGGGATGAGGATGCTCAGGTCCATGGGATGGGGATGCTCAGGTCCATGGGATGTGGATGCTCAGGTCCATGGGATGGGGATGCTCAGGTCCATGGGATGTGGATGCTCAGGTCCATGGGATGGGGATGTTCAGTCCATGGGATGTGGATGCTCAGCTCCATGGGATGAGGATGCTCAGGTCCATGGGATGGGGATGCTCGGGTCCATGGGATGAGGATGCTCAGCTCCACGGCATGTGCATGGTCAGCTCCATGGGATGGGGATGCTCAGGTCCATGGGATGTGGATGCTCAGGTCTATGGGATGTGGATGCTCAGCTCCATGGGATGTGGATGCTCAGGTCAATGGGATGAGGATGCTCAGGTCCATGGGATGGGGATGTTCAGGTCCATGAGATGGTGATGTTCAGGTCCATGGGATGGGGATGTTCAGCTCCATGGGATGGGGATGTTCAGCTCCATGGGATGAGGATGCTCAGGTCCATGGGATGGGGATGCTCAGGTCCATGGGATGAGGATGCTCAGCTCCATGGGATGGGGATGCTCAGCTCCATGGGATGGGGATGCTCAGGTCCATGGGATGGGGATGCTAAGGTCCATGGGATGGGGATGTTCAGTCCATGGGATGTGGATGCTCAGCTCCATGGGATGGGGATGCTCAGCTCCATGGGATGAGGATGCTCAGGTCCATGGGATGGGGATGCTCAGGTCCATGGGATGTGGATGCTCAGGTCCATGGGATGTGGATGCTCAGGTCCATGGGATGGGGATGTTCAGTCCATGGGATGGGGATGCTCAGGTCCATGGGATGTGGATGCTCAGCTCCATGGGATGAGGATGCTCAGGTCCATGGGATGGGGATGCTCGGGTCCATGGGATGAGGATGCTCAGCTCCACGGCATGTGCATGGTCAGCTCCATGGGATGGGGATGCTCAGGTCCATGGGATGTGGATGCTCAGGTCTATGGGATGTGGATGCTCAGCTCCATGGGATGTGGATGCTCAGGTCAATGGGATGAGGATGCTCAGGTCCATGGGATGGGGATGTTCAGGTCCATGAGATGGTGATGTTCAGGTCCATGGGATGGGGATGTTCAGCTCCATGGGATGGGGATGTTCAGCTCCATGGGATGAGGATGCTCAGGTCCATGGGATGGGGATGCTCAGGTCCATGGGATGAGGATGCTCAGGTCCATGGGATGAGGATGCTCCGGTCCATGGGATGTGGATGCTCACGTCCTTGTGTTACGGATGCCCACCTCCATGGGGCCGTGTCTCCCTTTGGAGGCGGTACCCGGGGTCACCCCCCTGTCCCCGCTGCCCCCCCCATCCCCACAGGTCAGATGTCGGGCTCCCACGTCCGCCTCGAGTACCACAACATCGAGACGGGCATCGTGACGGAGCGGCGCTTCCTGGCCGTGGTGCCCTCCAACTTCCTGGGCCACCTCAGCGGGCTCCTCTTCAACGGGCAGCCCTACCTGGACCTCTGCAAGAACGGCGACATCAGCTCCTGCGAGCTCAACGCCCGCTTCGGCCGCCGCACCATCGTGGCCGACCCGGTGGCCTTCCGCGGGCGCGGGTCCTACGTGGCGCTGGCCACGCTCCAGGCCTACTCCTCCATGCACCTCTTCTTCCAGTTCAAGACCACGGCGCCCGACGGCCTCATCCTCTTCAACAGCGGCAACGGCAACGACTTCCTGGTGGTGGAGCTGGTGAAGGGGTGAGGAGGAGGCTGCAGGGGCTCCTGGGCGCCTCGGGGACCTCCGCAACCTCATTAGGACCATCCATGGGGGTGGGGAGGGGGCCACGGGATGGGGATGCTCAGGTCCATGGGATGGGGATGCTCAGGTCCATGGGATGCGGATGCTCAGGTCCATGGGATGGGGATGCTCAGCTCCATGGGATGGGGATGCTCAGGTCCATGGGATGGGGATGCTCAGGTCCATGGGATGGGGATGCTCAGGTCCATGGGATGGGGATGCTCAGGTCCATGGGATGGGGATGCTCAGGTCCATGGGATGGGGATGCTCAGCTCCATGGGATGGGGATGCTCAGGTCCATGGGATGGGGATGCTCAGCTCCATGGGATGGGGATGCTCAGGTCCATGGGATGGGGATGCTCAGGTCCATGGGATGGGGATGCTCAGGTCCATGGGATGGGGATGCTCAGCTCCAGGGGATGGGGATGCTCAGGTCCATGGGATGGGGATGCTCAGCTCCATGGGATGGGGATGCTCAGCTCCATGGGATGGGGATGCTCAGCTCCATGGGATGGGGATGCTCAGGTCCATGGGATGGGGATGCTCAGCTCCATGGGATGGGGATGTTCAGCTCCATGGGATGCGGATGTTCAGGTCCATGGGATGGGGATGCTCAGCTCCATGGGATGTGGATGCTCAGCTCCATGGGATGTGGATGCTCAGCTCCATGGGATGTGGATGCTCAGGTCCATGGGATGGGGATGTTCAGCTCCATGGGATGCGGATGTTCAGCTCCATGGGATGAGGATGCTCAGCTCCATGGGATGGGGATGCTCAGGTCCATGGGATGGGGATGCTCAGCTCCATGGGATGGGGATGCTCAGGTCCATGGGATGGGGATGCTCAGGTCCATGGGATGGGGATGCTCAGGTCCATGGGATGGGGATGCTCAGGTCCATGGGATGGGGATGCTCAGCTCCATGGGATGGGGATGCTCAGCTCCATGGGATGGGGATGCTCAGCTCCATGGGATGGGGATGCTCAGCTCCATGGGATGGGGATGCTCAGCTCCATGGGATGGGGATGCTCAGCTCCATGGGATGGGGATGCTCAGCTCCATGGGATGGGGATGCTCAGGTCCATGGGATGGGGATGCTCAGGTCCATGGGATGGGGATGCTCAGGTCCATGGGATGGGGATGCTCAGGTCCATGGGATGGGGATGCTCAGCTCCATGGGATGGGGATGCTCAGCTCCATGGGATGTGGATGCTCAGGTCCATGGGATGTGGATGCTCAGCTCCATGGGATGTGGATGCTCAGGTCCATGGGATGGGGATGCTCAGGTCCATGGGATGTGGATGCTCAGGTCCATGGGATGAGGATGCTCAGCTCCATGGGTTGTGGATGCTCATCTCCACGCAGTGGGGCAGTCTCCCATTGGCTCCTCCCCCTTTCCCCCATGCCCCGCCCCCCCAGGTACATCCATTACGTGTTCGACCTGGGGGACGGCCCCTCGCTCATGAAGGGGAACTCGGAGGCGCCGCTGCACGACGGCCGCTGGCACGAGGTGGCCGTGGCCCGGGACGGAGGCGCCGTGCACGCGCTGCGCGTGGACGGGCGCCCGGTGACCCAGCACGGGCAGGCCGGGCGCAGCCTCGACCTCAAGGGTGAGACCCCAAAAACAAGGGGGTGGATATGGGGGGAGGGGGGGGCACCCATGGGTGAACCTCATCCCCCTCCCCAACAATGGGATCAGTATGGGGTGGGGGCACCCCACCCCAAATCAATGGGGTGAATATGGGGTGGGGGCACCCATGGGTGAACGCCCCCAACAATGGAGTCAATATGGGGTGAGAGATGGGGGCACCCATGGGTGAACCTCCCCCCCCCCCCCCCAACAATGGGGTCAATATGGGGTGGGGGCACCCATGGGTGATCCTCCCCCCCCCATCAATGGGGTCATTATGGGGTGGGGGCACCCCACCCCAAATCAATGGGGTCAATATGGGGCAGGGGCACCCATGGGTGAACCTCACCCCCCCCAAACAATGGGGTCAGTATGGGGCGGGGGCACCCATGGGTGAACCTCACCCCCCCCAAACAATGGGGTCAGTATGGGGTGGGGGCACCCATGGGTGAACCTCAACCCCCCCCCCATTGGGGTGAATATGGGGTGGGACCGTGGCGTGAGTGGGGGCACCCATGGGTGGCCCCTATAGAGCTGGGTGCATGGGGGCACCCATAGGGTGACTGGGGTGGACCCACTGGTGATGTCCGTTGGAGAGGGTGCATGATGGGGACGTGATGGCAGCTGTGGGGTGGGCGAGGGTTACCCAGGGGTGAAGGATGGCACCCATGGGGTGGATGAGGGGTACCCAAGGGTGTTGATGGCACCCATGGAGTGGATGAGGGGTACCCATGGGTGTTGATGGCACCCATGTGGCAGATGAGGGGTCCCCATGGGTGATCCCATGTATGGGGATGGATGCATGGGGGTACCCAAGGGTGTTTATGGCACCCATGTGGCAGATGAGGGGTACCCATGGGTGATCCCATGTATGGGGATGGATGCATGGGGGTACCCATGGGTGTTGATGGCACCCATGAGATGGATGAGGGATACCCAAGCGTGTTGATGGCACCCATGTGGCAGATGAGGGGTACCCATGGGTGATCCCATGTATGGGGATGGATGAGGGGTACCTAAGGGTGTTGATGGCACCCATGGGGTGAGTGGTGGCACCCATATGGCCGATGAGGGGTACCCATGGGTGTTGATGGCACCCATGGGATGGATGAGGGGTACCCATGGGTGTTGATGGCACCCATGGGATGGATGAGGCGTACCCAAGGGTGTTGATGGCACCCATGTGGCCGATGAGGGGTACCCATGGGTGATCCCATGTATGGGGATGGATGAGGGGTACCCATGGGTGTTGATGGCACCCATGTGGCGGATGAGGGGTACCCATGGGTGTTGATGGCACCCATGGGATGGATGAGGGGTACTCATGGGTGATCCCATGTATGGGGATGGATGAGGGGTACCCATGGGTGTTGATGGGACCCATGTTGCCAATGAGGGGTCCCCATGGGTGATCTCATGTATGGGGATGGATGAGGGGTACCCATGGGTGTTGATGGCACCCATGTGGCGGATGAGGGGTACCCATGGGTGTTGATGGCACCCATGGGATGGATGAGGGGTACTCATGGGTGATCCCATGTATGGGGATGGATGAGGGGTACCCATGGGTGTTGATGGGACCCATGTTGCCAATGAGGGGTCCCCATGGGTGATCCCATGTATGGGGATGGATGAGGGGTACCCATGGGTGTTGATGGCACCCATATGGTGGATGAGGGGTACCTACGGGTGTTGATGGCACCCATGTGGCCGATGAGGGGTACTCATGGGTGATCCCATGTATGGGGATGGATGAGGGGTACCTAAGGGTGTTGATGGCGCCCATGTTGCCGATGAGGGGTCCCCATGGGTGATCCTGTGTATGGGGATGGATGAGGGGTACCCATGGGTGTTGATGGCACCCATATGGTGGATGAGGGGTACCCATGGGTGTTGATGGCGCCCATGTGGCAGATGAGGGGTACCCATGGGTGATCCCATGTATGGGGATGGATGAGGGGTACCTAAGGGTGTTGATGGCACCCATGGGATGGATGAGGGGTACCCATGGGTGTTGATGGCACCCATGTGGCCGATGAGGGGTACTCATGGGTGATCCCATGTATGGGGATGGATGAGGGGTACCTAAGGGTGTTGATGGCACCCATGGGATGGATGAGGGGTACCCATGGGTGTTGATGGCACCCATGTTGCCGATGAGGGGTCCCCATGTGTGATCCCACGCGCAGCGCTGGGTGCACTGGGGTTCTCCCTGGGGCTGGGTGCCCGCACCCATGGGTGTCCCCGTGTCCCGTCCCCCCCCCCCAGGGGAGCTCTACGTCGGGGGTGCGAGCCGGGCGCTGCTGGCCCGCCTGCCCAAGCTGGTGGCCTCGCGCGGGGGCTTCCAGGGCTGTTTGGCCTCCCTGGACCTCAACGGGCGCCTGCCCGATCTCCTCGGGGACGCGCTGCAGCGTGTGGGGCACGTCCAGAGAGGCTGCGACGGTGAGGGGCGAGCGGGGACACGGGGGGCACTGGGGGGTGGAGACAGCGGGGATGTGGGGGGCACCAAGGGATGGGGGGCACCAAGAGATGGAGACAGCGGGGATGTGGGGGGCACCAAGGGATGGGGGGCACCAAGAGATGGAGACAGCGGGGATGTGGGGGGCACCAAGGGATGGGGGGCACCAAGAGATGGAGACAGCGGGGATGTGGGGGGCACCAAGGGATGGGGGGCACCAAGAGATGGAGACAGCGGGGATAGAGGGGATGGAGGGATGGGGGGCACCAAGGGATGGGGGGCACCAGGGGATGGGGGGCACCAAGAGATGGAGACAGCGGGGATGTGGGGGGCACCAAGGGATGGGGGGCACCAAGAGATGGAGACAGCGGGGATAGAGGGGATGGAGGGATGGGGGGCACCAAGGGATGGGGGGCACCAGGGGATGGGGGGCACCAAGAGATGGAGACAGCGGGGATACAGGGGATGGAGGGATGGGGGGCACCAAGGGATGGGGGGCACCAAGGGATGGGGGCACCAAGGGATGGGGGGCACTGGGGGGGTGGAGACAGCGGGGATACAGGGGATGGAGGGATGGGATAGGTGGGGAGCAGGGGCACGGTGGGGATGGGGGGCACTAAGGGATGGAGACAGCGGGGATGTGGGGGGGGATGGGGGGCACCAAGGGATGGGGGGCACTGGGGGGGTGGAGACAGCGGGGATACAGGGGGTGGAGGGATGGGATAGGTGGGGAGCAGGGGCACGGTGGGGATGGGGGGCACCAAGGGATGGAGACAGCGGGGATGTGGGGGGGGATGGGGGGGCACCAAGGGATGGAGACAGCGGGGATACAGGGGATGGGGATGGGATGGGGGGGAGCAGGGGCACGGTGGGGATGGGGGGCACTAAGGGATGGAGACAGCGGGGATACAGGGGATGGAGGGATGGGGGGGGAGCGGGGGATGGGGGGCACCAAGGGATGGGGGGCACTGGGGGGGTGGAGACAGCGGGGATACAGGGGGTGGAGGGATGGGGGGGGCACGGGGGATGGGGGGCACCAAGGGTTGGGGGGCACCAAGGGATGGAGACAGCGGGGATACAGGGGGTGGGGATGGGGATGGGGGGGGCACGGGGGGGTGGAGACAGCGGGGATACAGGGGATGGAGGGATGGGATAGGTGGGGAGCAGGGGCACGGTGGGGATGGGGGGCACTAAGGGAAGTGGGGGGCACTTGGGGGATGCAGAGAGCGGGGATACAGGGGATGGGGATGGGATAGGGGGTAGCAGGGGCACGGTGGGGATGGGGCACCAAGAGATGGAGACAGCGGGGATAGAGGGGGTGGAGGGATGGGGGGGGCACGGGGGATGGGGGGCACTGGGGGGGTGGAGACAGTGGGGATACAGGGGATGGGGTTGGGATGGGGGGACCAGGGATGGGGAACGCAGTGGGGATGGGAGGACATTGGGGCACAGGGGTGCAGGGGGGAGCGGGGACACGGTGGGGATGGGGGGCACCAAGGGATGGGGGGGGACTGGGTGGGATGGAGACAGCGGGGATACAGGGGATGGAGGGATGGGGGGGACCAGGGACAAGGGGGCACCAAGGGGATGGGGACACCAGGGACCCAGTGGGGATGGGGGGATACAGGGGGACACCGGGATGGGGGGAGCAGGGACACTGGGGGGGGGGCAGGGGAATGGGGGGGACACCAAGGGGATGGGGACACTCGGGGGGGGGGCACAGGAGGGTGCCTGGGTGTGCACAGGGGTGTGTAAGGATGCACATGGGGGTGCATTGGGGTGCACGGGGATGCATTGGGGTGCAAGGGGGGTGCATTGGGGTGTATGGGGGTGCATTGGGGTGCACAGGGGCACACGGGGATGCACAAGAGCCGGTGGGGATGCATTGGGGTGCAAGGGGGATGCATTGGGGTACATTGGGGTGCACTGGGGTGCATTGGGGTGCAAGGGGGATGCATTGGGGTGTATGGGGGTGCATTCGGGTGCATTCGGGTGCACTGGGGTGCAAGGGGGATGCATTGAGGTGCAAGGGGGATGCATTGGGGTGCAAGGGGATTCACTGGGGTGCATTGGGATGCATTGTGGTGCAAGGGGGATGCACTGGGGTGCATTGGGGTGCATTGGGGTGCAAGGGGGATTCATTGGGGTGCACTGGGGTGCCCGGGGGATGCATTGAGGTGCAAGGGGCATGCATTGGGGTGCACAGGGGTGCACAGGGGATGCACTGGGGTGCAAGGGGGATGCATTGAGGTGCAAGGGGGATGCATTGGGGTGCATTGGGGTGCACTGGGGTGCAAGGGGGATTCATTGGGGTCCACTGGGGTGCACTGGGGTGCATTGGGGTGCAAGGGGGATTCATTGGGGTGCCCGGGGGTGCATTTGGGTGCCAGGGGGATGCATTGGGGTGCATTGGGGTGCAAGGGGGATGCATTGAGGTACATTGGGGTACATTGGGGTACATTGGGGTGCCCGGGGGTGACTCCCCCGGTGCCGCAGGCCCCAGCACCACGTGCACGGAGGAGTCCTGCTCGCACCACGGGGTCTGCCTGCAGCAATGGGACGGCTTCACCTGCGACTGCTCCATGACCGCGCACGGCGGCCCCGGCTGCACCGAGCGTGAGTGCCCAGGGCGCTGTGGGGCCCTATGGGGCCCTGTGGGGCTCTATGGGGCAGCCGTGGGGCCCTGTGGGTCCCTGTAGGTCTCTATGGGGATGCTATGGGTCTCTGTGGGGCTGCCATAGGTCTCTATGGGTCAGCTGTGGGTCTCTGTGGGTCTCTATGGGGCAGCCACGGGTCTCTGTGGGGCTGCCATAGGTCTCTATGGGGCTGCTGTGGGTCCCCGTGGGGCAGCCATGGGTCTCTGTGGGGCTCTATGGGGCTGCTGTGGGTCCCTGTGGGGCAGCCATGGGTCTCTGTGGGGCTCTATGGGTCCCTGTAGGTCTCTATGGGGCTGCTATGGGTCTCTTTGGGGATGCTATGGGTCTCTGTGGGGCTGCCCTAGGTCTCTATGGGGCAGCTGTGGGTCTCTATGGGTCCCTGTAGGTTTCTGTGGGGATGCTATGGGTCTCTGTGGGGCTGCCCTGGGTCTCTATGGGGCAGCCATGGGTCTCTATGGGTCCCTGTAGGTCTCTATGGGGATGCTGTGGGTCTCTGTGGGGCTGCCATAAGTCTCTATGGGTCTCTGTGGGTCCCTGTAGGTCTCTATAGGGATGCTGCGGGTCTCTGTGGGGCAGCCATGGGCCTCTGTGGGTCTATGGGTCCCTGTAGGTCTCTGTGGGTATGCTGTGGGTCTCTGTGGGGCTGCCGTAAGTCTCTATGGGTCCCTGTAGGTTTCTGTGGGGCTGCCCTAGGTCTCTATGGGTCTCTATGGGGCAGCCGTGGGTCTCTGTGGGTCTCTATGGGTCCCTGTAGGTTTCTGTGGGGATGCTATAGGTCTCTGTGGGGCTGCCCTAGGTCTCTATGGGTCTCTGTGGGGCAGCCATGGGTCTCTATGAGTGTCTATGAGTCCCTGTGAGTCTCTATGGGGATGCCGTGGGTACCTATGAGTCCCTATGGGTCTCTGGGGGTCCCTGTAGGTCTCTATCGGGATGCTATGGGTCTCTGTGGGGCAGCCGTGGGTCTCTATGGGTGTCTATGAGTGCCTGTGGATCTCTATGGGGCTGCTGTGAGTGCCTATGGGTCTCTATGAGTCCCTGTGGGTCTCTATGGGGCTGCCATGAGAGTCTATGGGTCTCTATGGGGCTGCTGTGAGTGCCTATGGGTCTCTGTGGGTCCCTGTAGGTCTCTATGGGGATGCTATGGGTCTCTGTGGGGCTGCTGTAGGTCTCTATGGGGCAGCCATGGGTCTCTATGAGTGTCTATGAGTCCCTGTGGGTCTCTATGGGGATGCTGTGGGTACCTATGAGTCCCTATGGGTCTCTATGGGTCCCTGTAGGTCTCTATGGGGATGCTATGGGTGTCTGTGGGGCTGCAGTAGGTCTCTATGGGTCTCTGTGGGGCAGCCATGCGCGTCTACGGATCCCTGTTGGACTCTGTGGGGCTGCTGTGAGTGTCTATAGGTCCCTGTGGGTCCCTATGGAGCAGCCATGGGACTCTATGGGTCTCTATGGGGCAGCCATGGGTCCCTATGGCTCCCTGTGGGTCTCTATGGGGCAGCCATGGGTCCCTCTGTGTGTCTATGGGGCAGCCGCGGGTCCCTATGGCTCCCTATGGGTCTCTAGGGGGATGCCATGGGTACCTATGAGTGCCTATGGATCCCTTTGGGTCTCTATGGGGCAGCCATGGGTCCCTATGTGTGTCTATGAGGCAGATGTGGGTCCCTATGGCTCCCTGTGGGTCTCTAGGGGGTAGCTATGGGTCCCTCTGTGTGTCTATGGGGCAGCCATGGGTCCCTATGTCTCCCTGTGGGTCTCTATGGGGCAGTCATGGGTCCCTATGGCTCCCTGTGGGTCTCTATGGGGCACCTATGGGTCCTTCTGTGTGTCTATGGGGCAGCCGTGGGTCCCTATGGCTCCCTATGGGTCTCTATGGGGCAGCCATGGGTCCCTATGGCTCCCTGTGGGTCTCTATGGGGATGCCATGGGTACCTATGAGTGCCTATAGGTCCCTATGGGTGTCTATGGGGCAGCCATGGGTCCCTATGTGTGTCTATGGGGCAGATGTGGGTCCCTATGGCTCCCTGTGGGTCTCTATGGGGATGCCATGGGTACCTATGAGTGCCTATGGGTCCCTATGGGTGTCTATGGGGCATCCACGGGTCTCTATGGGGCAGCCGTGGGTCCCTATGGCTCCCTATGGGTCTCTATGGGGCAGCCATGGGTCTCTATGGGGATGCCATGGGTACCTATGAGTGCCTATGGGTCCCTATGCGTGTCTATGGGGCATCCACGGGTCTCTATGGGGCAGCCGCGAGTTCCCCCTCGTGGGTCCGGCCGTGGCCCCTCCCCCCGCCAGCCCCTCCCCCCCGCCCCTCCCCCCTCCCCCGCCCCTCCCGCTGCAGCAGCCGCCGCCGCCGCCGCCGCCCACGGCCCCGCGCCCCACCGCGCCCCACCGCCAGCGACCGCCGCGCCCCACCGCGCCCCACAGCGCCGCAGCCGGAGCCGCGCAGGCCAGAGCCCCCCCCCCCCCCCCCCCCCTTCCGCCTCCCGGCCCCATCCGCATCCTCATCCCCGCCCGCCCCACCGAGCCCCGCACCCCTCCATCCGCGCCCCACAGCATCCCCCGCCCCACATCCCGCATCCCCCGCCCCACATCCCGCATCCTCCGCCCCACATCCCGCATCCACACATCCCACATCCCCCGCCCGACATCCCCCATCCGCCGCCCCGGAGCATCCTCCCGCCCCACATCCCGCATCCTCCATCTCCCCGGGCCCATCTCCCCCCAGCCCCAGCCCCACATCCCCATCACCTGCCCCACAGCCCCCATCCGCCTCCCCCCCAGCATCCCCCGCCCCACACCCCGCATCCTCCATCTCCCCCATCTCCCCACCTCCCCATCCCCCTGCCCCACATCCCCCATCCTCCATCCCCCCCCGCCCCACATCTCCCCCCCCAACCTTCCCCCGGACGATGCTCGACCCCCTCTGAGCCCCCCCGCGCCCCCCCCCCCGCCCTGGCCCCCCCCCGCTCCGGGGCCCCCCCGCGCCCCCCCCCCCGCATGCGCTGAGCCCCGGGGGGGGGATCCAGAGCCCAGGGGGGGCCGGGACCCCCCGGGGACCCCCCGAGCCTGCAGGGGGGGGCTGCCCCCCCCGCACCCCCATTGGGGGCCCCCTCAGCCCTGTTCTAGGGGTGGGATTCGTGTCCCCCCCCCCAGCCCCATTTTGGGGTGACTCTGCCCCCCCCCCCCCATCGGGAGGATTCGGGGACCCCCCCCCCCCCCGGCCCTTGTGGGGTGACCCCGGGCCTGGCACTGAGGGATTTGGGGCTTCCCCCCCCCCCATCCCCCCTGAACCCCAGTTTGGGGCTCAGCCCCCTCCTGTCACTGCCCCCCCATTTGGGGGTGAGGCTCCCCCCCCCCCCCCCGTTTTGGGGTGCAGCCCCCTCCCTGTCGTCCCCCCCCCCATTTTGGGGTGAAAACTTTTCAGTGCCTCCCCCCTATTTTGGGGTTCACCCCTCTCCCATTGACCCCATTTTGGGGTGACCCCATCTCCTCCAGCCCCCCCATTTTGGGGTTCTCGTTTCCCCCCCACTTTGGGGGTGACCCCCCCTAATTTCAAGGTAACCCCTCACCCACTGACCCCATTTTGGGGGACCCTCCTCTTTCTCCATCCCCCTCTCCCTCTGCCCCCCCCCCCCCATTTCGGGGTCCCCGTTCTCCCCCCCACTTTGGGGGTGACCCCCCTTTCCCTCCATCCCCCCATTTCGGGGTAACTCCTCTTTCCCCCCCCATTTTGGGGTGAGCCCTCTCCCATTGACCCCACTTTGGGGTGACCCCCACCTTCCATCCTCCCCCTGTTTTGGGGTGATCCCTCTCTTGTCTCCCCCATTTCGGGGTCCCCCCTCTCCCATTGACCCCACTTTGGGTTGACCCCCCCTTCCCTCCATCCCCCCCATTTTGCCCCCCCCCCCGACCCCACTTTGGGGTCCCCCCTCCATCCCCCCCTCTCCCATTCACCCCACTTTGGGGTTGCCCCCCTATCCCCCCCCATTCACCCCACTTTGGGGTTGATCCCCCCTTCCCCCCATCCCCCCTCATTTCCCCCCCATTGACCCCCCTTTGCTGTTGTCCCCCACCCCCCTCATTCCCCCCCCACCCCCTCTCTCACTGACCCCACTTTGGGGTCCCCCTCTCATTCCCCCCCCCCCCACTGACCCCACGTTGGGGTCCCCCCCATTTCCCCCCCTTTGCTGTTGTCCCTCCCCCCCTCATTCCCCCCACCCCCTCTTCCATTGACCCCACTTTGGGGTCCCCCCCCCATTGACCCCCCTTTGCTGTTGTTCCCCCCCCTCATTCCCCCCTCTCCCATTTCCCCCCTTTGCTGTTGCCCCCCCCCCCTCATCCCCCCCCCCCGACCCCACTTTGGGGTCCCCCCCCATTGACCCCCCTTTGCTGTTGTCCCCCCCCTCTCCCATTGACCCCACTTTGGGGTCCCCCCCTCATTTGCCCCCCCCATTGGCCCCACTTTGGGGTTCCCCCCATTTCCCCCCCATTGACCCCCCTTTGCTGTTGTCCCCCCGTCATTCCCCCCTCTCCCATTGACCCCACTTTGGGGTCCCCCCCTCATTCCTCCCACCCCCATTGACCCCACTTTGGGGTCCCCCCCCATTTCCCTCCCCCATTGACCCCACTTTGGGGTCCCCCCCTCTCCCACTGACCCCCCTTTGCTGTTCTCCCCCCCACCCCCTCTCCCATTGACCCCACTTTGGGGTTCCCCCCCCCATTTCTCCCCTCTGCTGTTGCCCCCCCCTCATTCCCCCACACCCCATTGACCCCACTTTGGGGTTGATCCCCCCTTGCCCCCATCCCCCTTCATTTCCCCCCCCCCATTGACCCCCCTTTGCTGTTGCCCCCCCCTCATTCCCCCACTCCCTCTCCCATTCACCCCACTTTGGGGTGTCCCCCCCATTCCCCCCTCCCCATTTCGGGGTTCCCCCCCCATTCCCCCCCTTCCCCATTTCGGGGTTCCCCCTCCCCCTTCCCCATTTCGGGGTTCCACCCCCATTCCCCCTCCCCATTTCGGGGTTCCCCCCCATTCCCCCCCCCATTCTCCCCCATTTCGGGGTTCCCCCCCCTCCCCCCCATTTCGGGGTTCCACCCCCCATTCCCCCCCCCCATTTCGGGGTTCCCCCTCCCCCCCCGGATGGGGGGCAGCCTCTGAGCCCATGCGTTGTGGGGGGGCCGGCGGCGGCGCTGCTGGCGCTGGGGGCGCTGCTGGCGGCGCCCACGGGCGCGGCGCGGGTGAGCTCCAGCCTCTCGAGCACCCACCACGTGCACCACTTCCACAGCCGGCACCGCAGCGTCCCCATCGCCATCAACCCGCGCCCCGGTGCTCACCCGCGGACACCACGGTGAGGGGCGGGCGCCGCGCAGACACCCGTGGGGACAGGGAGGCGTCCGTGGGGAGATGGAGACATCCATAGGGACAGGGAGACATCTATGGGGAGATGGAGGCGTCCGTGGGGACAGGGAGACATCTATGGGGAGATGGAGGCGTCTATGGGGAGATGGAGGCGTCCATAGGGACAGGGAGACATCTATGGGGAGATGGAGACGTCTATGAGGAGATGGAGACGTCCATAGGGACAGGGAGACATCTATGGGGAGATGGAGACGTCTATGGGGAGATGGAGGCATCCATAGGGACAGGGAGACATCTATGGGGAGATGGAGACGTCTATGAGGAGATGGAGACGTCCATAGGGACAGGGAGACATCTATGGGGAGATGGAGACGTCTATGGGGAGATGGAGGCGTCCATAGGGACAGGGAGACATCTATGGGGAGATGGAGACGTCTATGGGGAGATGGAGGCGTCTGTGGGGAGATGGAGACGTCTATGGGGAGATGGAGACGTCTATGGGGAGATGGAGACGTCTATGGGGAGATGGAGGCGTCTGTGGGGAGATGGAGACGTCTATGGGGAGATGGAGACGTCTATGGGGAGATGGAGACATCCATGGGGACAAGGAGACGCCTATGGGGAGATGGAGATGTCTATGGGGACAGGGAGACATCTATGGGGAGATGGAGGCGTCCATAGGGACAGGGAGACATCTATGGGAGATGGAGGCGTCTATGAGGAGATGGAGACGTCTATGGGGAGATGGAGGCATCTATGGGGAGATGGAGACGTCTATGGGGAGATGGAGGCGTCTATGGGGAGATGGAGGCGTCTATGGGGAGATGGAGACGTCTATGGGGAGATGGAGGCGTCCATAGGGACAGGGAGACATCTATGGGGAGATGGAGACATCTATGGGGAGATGGAGACGTCTATGGGGAGATGGAGACATCTATGAGGAGATGGAGACGTCCATAGGGACAGGGAGACATCTATGGGGAGATGGAGACGTCTATGGGGAGATGGAGACATCCATAGGGACAGGGAGACATCTATGGGGAGATGAAGACATCCATGGGGAGATGGAGACGTCCATAGGGACAGGGAGACGTCCATGGGGAGATGGAGACATCCATAGGGACAGGGAGACATCTATGGGACAGGGAGACATCTATAGGGAGCTGGACCCATCCATAGGGACAGGGACCCACCTATAGGGAGCTGCACCCATCTATAGGGACGTGGACCCATCTATAGGGACGTGGACCCATCTATAGGGACATGGACCCATCTATAGGGATGTGGAGCCATCTATAGGGACCTGGACCCATCTATAGGGACGTGGAGCCATCTATAGGGACCTGAACCCATCTATAGGGACCTGAACACCCTATAGGGACCCCTATAGGGACCTGATCCATCACAGGGACCTGAACACCCAGTGGGGGCCTGAGCCCATCACAGGGACCTGAACCCACACATAGGGGCCTGAACACCCTATAGGGACCTGAACCCACACATAGGGTCCCCTATAGGGTCCTGAACCCATCATAGGAACCTGAACACCCACCACTGGCACTCCAGAAGCACCCCATAGGGACCCAAACACCCCATAGGGACACCGGGACCCCCATCCTCAGCCTCATCATCCTCACCATGGGAACCCCCCTCCTCATCCTCATGGGGAGCCCCTCCTCATCCTCCTCATTGGGACCCAAAACCTCATCCTCATCCTTCTGGGGACCCCCCCCTCCTA